GTTTAGATTGTCAAAAAGCCTGTGTTTTTAGGGTTATTAACGAAGTTTGTGTACTCAGACCAGTAATATTTGGGGTCACAAGTTTTTGCCATGGATATTTTGTGGGTCAGAAGAAAAAAGGTTTGGGAACCACTGATCTAATGCATTTAGCTGTAATTAATTATTTGATGCTCATTTGATTGTGTGTGAGGAAGGACCTGTAGTTCCACATCCTAACTGCAGGCTCTGGCTCTAAAACAACATGACACCAACCACCCATAAACCAAGTCCTTCTGGCTTCAGTTTTCAAGGAGAGAAGGTGAAGTCACTTTGTCCACCTTTTCCATGCTGATGATAATCTCCTTAATGTGTTGCGTTTGACCACCATCACTTAATGATTGAAAAAAACTGTTCTCACCTGTCAATAATTTAAAAAGCAACCATTTTTAAATGTGTACTGATAGAAACAACAAAATATGTGCAAGCAATTTATCTCATATTTCACATTTTATTTGATTCTAATATTTCCTGTTCTGGCCCTGCACTCTGTATAAACGAGTTTATGTGAAGTTTTCACAAAAAAAATAAAAATAAAACAGAATGCTTTGTAAAAGAAAAACTTTGCACTCACAGCAGCAGAAAGTGAACAATAAATCAATCAAACAGTGTGATGCAAASATGTACATGCTTTACTTAGCTTGTCAAAACAAATGCATTATGCCATCTGCACTACTTTAGAGCTTTCAAAAGTCGATTTGCAAAATAATATTGACAAGTTACATTACTGATCTGTTTGTTTTGCAGACTGTTTTGTTTTGATGATTGTTTCTGAAAGGCATACATATAGACTTTAATAATATAAAAGTGAGAAAAAATTGCATCCCTAAACATGTGAGCAGCAAGTAACAATTTTTTTTTACAAGAGAAACAATTATACAGAGGCCTACTTGACATGTTACAATCAAACATCAAGTATTTTACTGGGATTTAATGATTTTAGATCATCAATATTCTGAACAGTTCTTATTTTATTTTACTAAACAAAGAGAGGCAATAAAATAAGAAAGTTTTGGTTTCAATATTATATCCTTTTAAGAGATTATATTGCCCAAAAAATTTTAAGAAACATTTTTGATGGCAAGAGATGTATAGCTGCAGACATGAAGAGTATTAAATCTCTTAAAACTGTCCCCAAGAAATTGAACAAACTGATAAATACACATTAGGCAAAGTCCTTATAAAACGTAAGTCACGTGTATTGCCTAGGTCTAGTCTAGTAGTAATGTTTTAACCCACTTCATGGTAACTGTGATAGTTTTATTCTGAGRACTGATTCACACACAACGCAATGACTCACACCCCGTGAAATGAGCCAATCAGAGACTTCCCYTCCTTTGGTGAAACGAATGAGCCCAGTATTCGTTTTTATGTTATATTCTTATTTTTCATAAAATTTCGTATGTTTCTAGATATATATAATATTTACCTTTTTTATTTATTTTTATTCTTTAAGTCATTTGACGTATGGTACTTCCTGTTTGACGTGGATTACGTGATGACGTAAGATTGTGTTTTGACAGTGCAGCTGCATTGTGAAAGACAGACAAGTGGTAAGTCGAGGGCTTAATTATCCCACTTTTCAGAAGTAAATGCTTTTCATACAGCTATTGTGTTTTCTTATATTTTTGTGGCTCAAGATGAGCACTGTTACTTTAGTTATTGTTCTTTATTTACTAACTTTTAAGTTACCAGCTAGCTAACGCGAGCATGCGTGTTTAGCCTTACGTTACCTAACAGGCAGCTATTGATAGCTTAACTAAGAGCTATCGGGCTCCAGGTCTGGCTGGTTGTAACCTTAGATAGCAAAAAAACAAAGATAATAATAATAATAATAATAATAATAATAATAATAATAATAAAATCAGCCCAATAATACCATGTAATCTCGGTCTCCTGAACACCAACATTGTGTAATTTCATCATTACTGTTTTAAATAGTATATGTGATCTTTGCGTCCACAGACTGCATTTAGTCATGGCACTGAGGAGCCTTGTGTGTCGTCTCCTGAGGAACCGATGTGTSTTGGTCTCAGCCTCCAGAACACAAGGAACCGCAGCAGTGGCTCAGCATGGTCAGTGTTCTGTGGTTCTGTTGGACCAGGTGTCAAGTACACCTGGTCCAGATGGGATTGGATATAATAGCTCTTGCAGCTTTCTGATGTTCGACAGCCCAACAACTTTACATCATCATTAGTTTTACTGTGGTGGAAAATGTCTTGTAAACGTCTTAAGCCCAACAGAACTAGTTTGCATCAGATTATGTATGTGATGCTCTTGGCTTCAATAATTTATCTAAATCAGTGACTGAATTTGCTAGTCTGTGGATTAGAGTTGCATTAACTCCTAAATAGGAATTGATTACATTAGAAATTGTAACAAATAAAACCTCACATTCTGTGCAATCTGCCATTTATATCCCATTTATCATTTCTAGGTGCTCAGAAGTCTGAACAGAAATCTAAAACATGTAAGTGTTGACAGCCACCCAAAGTGAAACCAAAGCATTATTTCAAATTGAATCTCTTGTCAAAAGAGAGATTTCCTATTGATTTTTAAGGTCTGAAATAATTCTTGCTTCAAAATGTTTCCCAGCTAAAGTCCAGTTCAACTGGCAAGATGCCCTGGACCTGGAGGGCCAGCTGAGTGAGGAGGAGATCATGATCAGGGATTCCTTTCGGACCTACTGCCAGGAGAAGCTGATGCCTCGCATTCTGATGGCAAACAGGAATGAAGGTGAGAGAGTGCTGCTCACTTTGCTGTAGTTGTGAATTCATAAATTTTTTTTTTTACCTGTGATTTAAATAGTTTTATTCTTTTATGGTGTTGTCTTGTGCACTCAGTTTTATTTAATGATGAGCTGATATTATTAGTGCAGCAAAGGGACACTTTMCTATTTTTAAGTTGTGGAGATGGGGGAAGTGCAACATTGTTGTAACTTTATTTTTATTTCCAGTGTTTCACAGAGAAATAGTGTCTGAAATGGGAGAGATGGGAGTCCTGGGTCCAACGATTAAAGGTCAGTTTGAGTGCACCAAAACCAGAACTTTATTGTGAAATGCTAAGTTAGTAATGTAAATTTTAGTCTTCATCTGTAATACAAAGTTCTTTTACAGAATGTAACTTTGACCCAGTGCCCACTGAACTTTTGGGATAATCGTAGCCTGTTCTTCACAAGAATCCAAGCTCAGTGTTTGTTCATTTAGTTTCTTGCCTTTTTCTTTTTTTAACACCGACTCCTCTTCCTGTGTTGGGTGTTAAGGTTAYGGCTGTGCTGGGACAAGCTACGTGGCGTACGGTTTGATCGCCAGAGAAGTAGAGAAGGTGGACAGCGGGTACCGCTCCGTCATGAGCGTGCAGTCCTCTCTGGTCATGCATCCTATTAACGCCTACGGCTCAGAGGAGCAGAAACAAAAGTATCTCCCCAGGCTGGGTAAGATCTGTTGGCTTATCTGTTGTGCTGYCTGAGCTCKGAGGTGAATATCTGAGTGAAYTAACTCCCACTCTCTCTCTCTCTYTCTYGCAGCTCGTGGAGAGATTTTGGGCTGCTTCGGTCTGACAGAACCAAATCACGGYAGTGACCCTGGCGGCATGGAAACAAGAGCCAGATATAATCCGTCCAGTCGCACCTACACCCTCACCGGCTCAAAAACCTGGTGGGTGAAAAGATTTTTGGAAATTAGTTGTCCAGTCAATTATTAAGAATGAGTTTGTTGTAATTTTCTYACTGTGGTTCTTTGTTTACAGCACCTAACATATTCTGTTGGGATACTTTTTGCTCTGCCCTTTGATATGTGTGAATGTGTAGATCAGAGGTTCTCAAGCCATTTGGGTCTGGGGACCCCTTACAAGGGCGAAAAAATTCCAGGGACCTCCTCATAAATCCCATGCTGTTTTAAAAGATAATTTATTGTCATTTCAACCCCTAAATGCCATGGGAATATATATTTTTATTAAGATTATATTTGTTTATTAGCTCATTGTTCCTCATGCATTTTAAAAAATAAAAACCAAATTAACAATTTAGTGAAAGTTTTTGAGGACCCCCAAGATACCTCTCGCAGACCCCTGGGGGTCCAAGGACCACAGTTTGAGAACCTCTGGTGTAGATGGTGTAAATATGAACACAAACATCGGTTCCTGTTTTTTCCTTCTATGTTGCTGTCCACAATTTATGGAACTTAATGGATTCAGTTTTACTAAAGGTGCAAAACATTCACCCTCATATTCATTCATGCAAATGAAGTACAGGGTTCCCACGGGTCCTTAAAATCCCTGAAAGTTTGTGAGTTTGAAAAAATGATTTCAAGGCCCTGGAAAGTTTGTGAAAACAGCCAAAAACTACACTTGTTGTTGAAAGTCGTTGAATGTTTTTTTGGGGTTGGATTCTCTATTCAACACAGCAGTAGTTAAATGCTGTCGCGCGTGGTTCTTGAATTTGAGGAAATTGGTGCTGGAAAGTCCTTGAAACGTCCTTGAATTTGATGTTGACCAAGGTGTGGGAACCCTGGAAGTATCGTCCTATAGAAAATCTTTTGCCTCTTCAATAAATGGTGAACTGGAATCTAAAGCCAGCACTAGGAATGTGCGATATGGCAAAAAATTCA